GCAAAATGCCTCAGCAACACAACGACGGTGATCGTACTGTTCGCTAGTCTTCGCATCGCAACATACGTTCGATACGGTGGAGCAGTGTTCAAGTGCTCTCTTTACCGCAGGCAGATAGACACGTGCTATCAATGCGGTCGCCTGGGGCACCGCGCAGACGTATGCCCAAACCCGAAAGACCATGTGTGCCGTGGCTGTCGTACGGCTAACCCCTCCCAAGATCACCAATGCAAGCCCACTTGTCAACTATGCGGCGGCGACCACCAGACGGCCGAAAAGGCATGCAGGGCACGTTACAAGACGCCGTACTTGGTGAAACGCTGGCGATGGGAGCGACAACAACAACAACTGCAAAATGAAGACTACCCGACGAAGCCAACGCCTGTCGACAACAGCCTCGAGCAGCAGGACACTGCTCCTATCCGGAAGCCCGGAAAGAAAGCCTGGTCGAGGTCTTGGTCGAGCTAAAATTACCCAGCAACAAAACGAATACCTACAACAGCGACTCATCGCTGTGGAGGCTAGAGTCACTCCCCTGCCACCTAGCAGACTGAACCCTATGGTGGCTGTAAAACAACCTTCCTCGTCGGCATTCAGTGTGATACAGCCGGCGACATTCCTACCCCCTGCATCTCATCATATCTAGAAACCACACCTACATGATTTGGCAATGGAATTGTAGAAGCTATGCAAATAAGCAAGCAAATTTTCACCAATACCTTAAGAAGAAAGTTAAGCTCGATATCATTTTATTGCAGGAGACACATTGTCTCACTAAATTGGCAGACTATCGCTCGATTGGACATGCCGACGGGGAGATGACTGTTCTTACCAGCTTAGACGAAACCTTACATTCACGCAACACGACACGGAAATTATTAATATAGACAATATATTTATGGGACTGGTTTTGCAATGCAAGATACATGTAAGTCTTTTTATATTAAACATATACAGCAATCTTAAACAAAAAAAAAAGCACACATTTCTCGAACAAGAGTGTGAGAAATCTCTGCTTCAGCGCCCTCAACATCGCTGGCCGAAATCCCATTCTGACTTCAACGCACCACACACTGCCTGGGGATACTTTTATGTGTTTCCTAACGGTAGGGCCCTCTGGTTTGACTCGCAGCAGAAGAGATTAACTCTCATCACCAACCCTAGCACACCCACACGGGCGGGCACTAGCTCCAGTAAAGACACAACGCCTGATCTGACGTTCACGAGAAACACATCTGCAGCCACCTGGAAAAATACCCAAGAGGGCCTTGGCAGTGACCACAACATCATCGAGGCACACGTGCAAGGTGGCCAACGCAAACCCACGGGAAAACAGCTAAAGTTGGTAGACTGGACCCAGTTCTGCAAATCACGTGAGAACCAGGTTCAACCCATCAGCGACAGGGAGGACCGGATGCACACGCTTAAGCAGGACGTTAATAATGATACCCGAATCGTACCTCCCAGGCACACCTCAAAGAGATCGATAGCCGACTCCTCCACAAGTGCGAGGCAAAGCAATCACTCCAAAAGAGGAGGAACTAGAAACAGCAACAGAAACCTCAAGAAATGCAGAGCACTCCTCAACACAGAGATACAGATGTATGCAACACAGCTAAGCCGGCAACACTGGAACGAAACATGCGATGCGATGGACAGGCAGCTAAGCATTAGTAAAACATGGTATTTTCTACCGTTCCTGCTCGACCCAGAAGACAACAAAACCGCCCAACGACAAACCATCAACAAACTAATCCATGCATACAAGGGCACCGACGAGGAGTTTGTTAGGGAGGTAGATTAGAGCTCAAATACATCTCTCAGGCTCCTACTCAGCAGCATTCAGATTATACGAGCCAGGTCAACACGAAACCCTTACGAAACACTTGAAGAATGAGCTTAAATCCATAAACATTATGTGAGCATGTTCCTACATTAGAAGGTGTTCACGCACACTATATCCTGTCCCATCCCACCCACTGGCATAGGCAGAATTTTTTTTAGGGGAGGGGGGACAGAATTCATACGTACATTCCGTATTTTAGTGTGAGCATTTGTATGTGTGCATTTGTATACGCAAGCAAATGGAAAATACCAAAAGGGGGGTTCAACTCCCCTCCCCTTGGCTACAACCTTCGTACACACACGCGCTCCAGTCTTTGTTACTTGTTACAAGAAAGCCCACTAGCACAAGCAAGCTACACGCATGACTTACTTCTAGCAAAACATGAATTTCAATGGTAACACACTTTACTGCAACTGCAATTCTATACCACAGCAACAGCTGCAAATTTTCTAAGATGGAATGGCATGAGCTGTGGCACAAAGTGAAACAGCTTTGCGAAAAACAGCAAACAGATACATTTCCTGCAAGCTGCATCACTCGCTCATCACACTCGGGTTGTCTTGAGGGCTTCACCATCACTACAGCCGCGATGTACGAGTTTCCGAGCACGCTTCTATGATAATGAAAGTTACAAGAACAAATTTGCAACCTCTGCCTCCCTGATTTATTAGATGGACTAATGGTCTGCTCACCCTAAGGTGAGCGGGGACCATAACTAAATTATACAACATGGTGAATTCGGAGCTACAAAAGACGTACACATATGAGAGACAGACACTACTAACAACTCACTTATTGCAAAGGTTGCAATAAATATAAGCCTAATGATGTGCAGATGCAGCGACTGCATAACCTTTGCAACAAATAAGTTAGCAGCACCTGTCTGTCATCTGTCTCTCCCATGTGTATGTCTTTTGTAGCGCTAATATCGCCAGAAGATGTGTATATCTTTTGTAGCGCTAAAATCGCCAGAAGATCACCATGTTATGCAATCACTAACTCGCCTAACAACAATTCTTATTTGGGTAAGAACTTGTTGCCTTTGTCACGTGGATTGTCGCTTTTGGATTGTGGGTTCCAATCCCGACTCTTGAAGACTTTTTTTTTTCAGCAAGGTTTTCTCTTTTTCTCCTTATATCATATTTCTTATTTCTCTCAATGCTTGTTCTCTCCTCTATCAATGCTTATTGCAGGACATGCCATAGAAATTGGCGTACATCTTCCGCAGGTGAAGCCAAAGAAAAGGAAGAGAGCACACATCGATTCCCAATGATGATAGTTCTGAGTCGCAAAAGACATTTCCAGCCCAGCAAGTTCGCTGTTAATGAAAGAAACAAACAAGTCGACAAGCCTGCGCCACAGTAAGGCTCAAAATATGTCATGGAGACCCCCCCCCACCCGCTACACGTTTTTTAACTGCTCCTCATGATGGGATTGCCCGGGTTCCCAACCATAACTCCTTCGCTTCACTTCTATTTTCTTTCGGTCAACATGGTTGAATTACGACTAGACTCTGGACATAAAAAAAAAATGGCCCCTCTAAGTCAATTACTATCTGCTAAAATAAATACTTAGGAAACATAAAAGAGCACAAGAATGCGACAAGAAACAGAAATCTCTGCATATTTCTTTTTGTTATTTTTGTTTTGCATTATTTTATACATCCTTGTCATCATTTGCATAACTGAACAATGATAAAAGAAATATCACATGAATCCATTATGAAAAAAACACTCACAGTGCTACTGACCTGGTTTTAAACTCTTTATCTGGAAAGTGTGGAAAAGGCACAAATTTCGTTCTTTGGGAGGCAAGCAGTCAAGGTAACACTGCGGTAGCACACCACATAGACATTCCCATCACACTTGCTCCGGCTCAAATGACAATCAAAAACAACAGTTTAAATATCAGGAAGTACTACATCATGAAGTTTCCAGGCACCGAATGGTTAGTATATGATATCAGGTAACATATTTCTTAAACATAAAAAATTTTATTTTATTTCTGTTTGTGATTCTAGTATAACTCAACACCACTATGACATTAAAAATGTGACATGTGTATAGTACTTCTAAGTCAAAGGGTTCGACAAAAGCCAATCTGGACAGGTAGCATGTTGCACTTACAGTCGAACCCTTTATAAGAGACACTGGTATAAGAGACAAATGGGTATAAGAGACCCCAGTGCACCTAAAGTAAAATACGGGTTAATTGAAAAATACATACATGGTACCCTGCTTATAAGATACATTTCATATAAAATACAAGAATTGCTGCCAGGAGCATGCCTCTTATAATAAAGGGGTTCAACTGTAGCGAAAAACGTGAATACTGACCATGCAAAAAAAAAGGGGGGGGGTTTGACGTGTTGAAACCTGTACAGTTTCCTTATTCCTTCTATTGCTTCTTCACGAAATTTATGTCTTTCTTCTTATTTGGTTATGAATATATGTGTCACCGTAACTGTTTTAGGGTTTAATGTGTTTTGGATGGCTTAGCACAGCACTATTTGCTGATGCTACATGTACACTGAATATAAACCAACACTAGCCTTTTGCTACTGGCTCGGCGATTCTTTAGCACAAATTCTTGTCGCAATGGAAAGTAAATTATTTGAATTGAACATACTATGTGCACATTTGTGCGTGTGTTTACTGAAAACTACTCAGTCTAAAATCCTCTGGATGCATCTCAACCTTTATTTAGATGCAGTGCTTTAGACCACCATTTTATAGCACCAAAGGTGTGTCGAATCTCGTAGCTGGTGAGATCCGATCAGCGCTTCCACAATACCAATATTTCTAGAACCTATAGCGGTGCAAAATTCACTACTAGACCGACATTGATTATGCAGTTGTGGCAGACTTTTCTTCTTCTTCTGGCACACAACTTGGGACATGAGCTTAGAAGAAGGAAGAAGTACTAGTTCCAAGTATGGCGTGCAAGTATGAATAAACCTTTTCCATTTTCCTAAACCGAGCTTCAGAAGGCTACATACTTAATGCTGATCACCACCAACCATGCCTATTACTGCCACTGCGTATCAAGTCTCACTCCAATGATAAGCACCTAACTTTACCAAATAGATATCTTTTCTATTTGTTTGCTATTGCTACGCCACCAAAGGTCAGCATTCTACTGATCAAGTACTCACTTCTGACTCTTGATGGTGACTTCCACCGACTCGCCGATGAAGTACCGGTCGCGTGCAAACGAGTAGACGTCATCGCAGAGGTCGGCGAGGCGGCCCCTCCTCGTCAGGCTGGCGAATGTAGAGCAGTGGCTTCTTCAGCGCAACAGGAAACGAGGACAGAACCTTGAGAGCGTGCTCCTCTGAGCTCAGGGCATCATGGTAGGTGAGGCCCGGCTTTCCGGTCAGGCTACAAGTCCACACTAGGCTGTTGCACAGGATCACACGAGCAAAATACTCGCTGCGCCAAGGGAGAGAAAGATGAGGCCAGGGAGCATGTGAGTTGCAAGTGTGAAGTTCACGTGCTACACGACGCCAAGCTGACAGATAATGAGCGTTCCACTCTCACAGTCATGGCTACTGGTAGCGCTGACTGACACTTCCACGTTTAATGCACACATATGCCCCATAAGGTGGACTGAGAGATAGCCGCCGTGGTGGCTCAGTTGGTAGGAGCATCAGACGCCATATCTGAAGATCGCAGGCTTGGTCCTCTGCCCACGGCAAGATTTATTTTCGTCCAGTTTTTCTCTTCACATATGCATTACAATTACAACATTCCCTACACTTTTCTTGACATCATTGTCTGCTAGATCTCATTAGTATTGTGTCTAACAATTAAAACAGGCCCTTAAATGTGCACTTCTTTCCTGACGCAGTCATTGGCGAATCGGAAAGTGCTCTCGATGCAAAATAGTGTGACATGAACACACTAGATACAAAGCTGGTCACAATATCATTATAATTAATTAGTGATCCATAAGCTACACATGAGAACCTCTCCCTAGAGGATCAAAAATGCTACTTTCAACTTTGCAGACGTTTTCCTGAGCGTCAATAAAAATTATGAGGCATCAATGTGAATAAAATATGAGGTACTTTGCTGTATTATAAACAGCCAAGAATAAACAGTCTTAAGTTACAAAAAAAAAGTACAGGCCAAAATTTCATGCAAACATTTTTATAGGATTGTTTTAAGAAGATGCAGTTATTGTGCCATATTTATATTGTAAGTGTTTTGTACAAGATTTGTAGGACGTACAATTTTCACTAAGGCCAAACAGCAGATGTCCTGTCTTTTTTTTTTTTTTTGCATAAAGCCAAGACAAATAAAAAATCACCACCCACATTCAATGAGAGTTGTCTTGAATGCAATTGGTTCGGCATTTAGACCATTGATGCACAATCGACATGTACACTGGTTTGTGAACAGTTGCGCTGCTTCATTTAAATGATGCACAAATGACTCACAAGCATCGGACGCACAAGCCTCTGAGCACTTCTGAGAACACATCCCCAATAAATTGAAGAATGAGAATTGTGATGGGATGAGAAGTTAGTTATCCAGTGTGCTGGAAGCCCCTATATTCGCTAAACGGTCAGGTTCACAACATCCAAGTAAACAATTCTGGAAATAAGATGTTTTCATTAAACAGAATGCCATGTTTTGCAAGTCGATACCGCATATTTGTAACAGTAGCATGAAACAACACATATACATGGAAGGAAACAAAATGTCCACATCGTATTTGACACAGTCTATTTATTCTATCGACAAGTGTTACAACTACAACTAACTTTTTTTTCCTCGAAACTTGGCAGTAAGAAGGCTAGAGGCAATTTTGCACTAGCACCTCTGTGCGCCTCCAGCATTTTATGATGCCAGAGTGTACAGCTTACAGGCAGTACATGAATTCAAATAAGGTTTTTCTCTTAGCCCAAGATCGCTTTGTGATGTATCAGACTGAAACAACATGTAGCTAAGTAACTGTTGAGGTTCACTAATATATTGCTTATCTCACTTATCGTGCAAGTTCTATAGCTAATTGGTTTCCCAAAAGCATAGGAGAAAATGATTTCACAAGGATAACTGCGCAGTTTAAATGCTGCTGTAGAAATATCACGAGTAATTTAAGAGCATACTTTTAAGGACCTCTGTTATCGATTTTAGTGCACGACAAGTTATACATTTAACGTCCACTGCTCATTCAGTTTTAAGCATTAAGCTACCTAATGAAAAAAAGCAAAAAACACAACTATTAAACCTCAGGAAATGAAAGCAATGTGTTTTCTCAACATAGCTTTATCAAACCAACAAACAAGTGGAAAAAAAACAAAAAACTTCCCTACAACCAGTGTAAGTATTGTTGGTATGGCAATTGATACAACACACTGGTGTGTACCATCGATAGTTGTTAAACTTGATGTCTTGGCGCAAGTAAAAAGCAAATGTAGACAAAAAAAAAAGAAACTGTAGGATACGCTTTTATAATTATTGTATTCCTCCTTTCACACATAATTAGTACAACAGTAGGCAGGTGCTTAACTTGGCTTGCTTTTAGCAGGCTTTTGACTTAGTCTGCCAATCTGGTTCAATTACTTTCGAAGTGAATTGGCAATACCTACTGTCAAGATGTTTATTTTGTTTCATTTTCAGGACAATATATGTGCTCGCATTTTCCAGCTGAATTCCGTGACAGAGTAGAATATCTGATTTCTGGTGAAAAATGTAGGAAACTCCGCCAAGCTATGAGACATCAACTAACGTACTTACCTGCATGCTGTCAGCACTCATTAGCACCAACTAATATTGGCTAAATTACAGTTAATTTGGCTAGTATTGCCAAAATGGTGGCTAATGCTTACAGTGCCTAATTCGGAATACACATACTTGGCATGTACTATAGGTAACCTTGTAGTAATTATGGACTTCGAACATTACATTGCAATCTTCCAACATGTGTAAATTAACAACTGAGGGTTCCTGCATAGTGTCTAAATTTGTTAGGTTACATACGATATGCTGAGTTTTTTTTTCTTTATGAATGTTGAGAAATTTTTGTGAGGGTTGATCCGAGTAATTAATTTACTCATTGCTATGTTATGCTTATTTTTTGCATGTATTCCAGCTTTATTTTATCATTTTCTGTAATGAGTCACATGTATGTTTTTCTTTTGTTACTGTCGCTTTCTCTGACCGGCGATTTTGTAATTCTGTTATTTCCTGGTTGAACTTAGTCAGTCAAGCAGTGAAACCACATAAATTCTGCACTATTCTGCACCTGCCACGTGACTGAACTGAACTCAATGCTAATTCAGTGGCTGAGTCATCAAATTTTCAATAGATAGTTTTCTATATTGAACATTTAGTTTTGCCCAAGTGTATTTGACAAGCTGTTGCCTTTCAGTTACTCACTTTAATTTTTGCTCGCTTCCTTGAAACAGTCCTCACCAGTGGCTACACTATATAAAAATTCATGTGCACAATATTTAAATAAAACATTCAAATCACTAACTGACTGAAATTTTGGGCATATAACATCCCAATACAATAGCACCACCCCTGAAGATATTGAAGGTGGAGATGGCCATTATGCTAGACTTAACAATATAATCTCTGCTCAGCACTACATTGCACAATGGCATAAAACATATATATATATATATATATATATATATATATATATATATATATATATATATATATATATATATATATATATATATATATATATATATATATACACACACACTTTAATAAGATAATACAGTTGTGCAGCTAAATGGCAAACTATTTTCCTGATGCTCTAAATTACCATGACACGTAACAAAAATTAAAATACTGGACAATACCTTTTTTTAGCTATAGTTCATTCATTTCTCACTTCATTTTTGAAGTTGGTGTCCTCGTAGTTTGCACAGCCAACATGTCTACTAGCACAATCAAATTACATTTTCACCTTTAAGCCCAAATGAACTGATGCTAAACTAAGTAGAACACAGAAATTGTGATGGTTAAAAACAATATTGTGCACCTTACTGATAGAGATCATAGGAAGAGCATGAAAGAAGTAATTTGTGCTGAATACATGAATGTCTACAGTATCATTGTACAGTTTAATGAAAGTACAGAGATAAGTATGTTAAAAGACAGCAAGTAATTTGTGCTGAATACATGCATGTCTACAGTATCATTGTACAGTTTAATGAAAGTACAGAGATAAGTATGTTAAAAGACAGCATTTCTGAAAGATTGCATGAAAGGAGAATGATGAACAAAATAACTTGTTGCCCGTGTTACCAGTAGTCAAAGTCCAACACATCTTAATGTTTGAAGTCTAGTTGCTTAATATACAATGAACAAATTGATACATCAAAATTTTCTTGTTTAATGACAAGTGCTAAAATAAAAGCTGCACTTCCATGTTTCAAATATGTTTCTCAACTTAAAAGCATATGTTTCATATACTTTTATGTTGAGATAAAAATTTGTAAAAAGTGAGGCTAGGTTGGCTGAGCTACTTGAATTATCAGGAAAGTTAATTTTGCAAAGAGCTATAAGCACCAATACACTTTATAGAATATTTATGATTAATAATAGACCTATGACAGAAAAAAGTTACCTGGCTACTCACAAGTAAAATAAATAAATGGATAAATAAAGCACTTATCAGCACTTCTCAAGATTCTAAAAGATATACAGAAGGAAGAGTATTGGAGTGATGAAGCTACACATTTTCAGTTTCTTGGAAGGCAGGTGTAGGTTGGAGACACTTTAATGATAGGCCTGCTACAACAAAGCAAGAACAGGCTATTCGTTCTCAATAGATTTTCATTACTACAGTAAAATAAAAATTTTCTATAAAAGTCATTTTATGAGCCAAGCATAACTACACTGTCTTTCTTAAAAGAAGAAACTTCCATTTGGTTCACACACGTTCTGTGGTTAAACAGGTAAGAAACATTCGTTATGACTTGCATCTTAATGGCCTCTTTTAACAAATAGTTTTCAATGCAGTGTTTTACATTGTTGTTGAGCACGTCAGTAGTGTGTCTGTTTTGCAATGCAAAAATAAAAAATCCATGGCAATAAAAAAAACTGTGTATTAGTGAATGTTATTGGTCAAATGTAACTCAACCTCACTTGTAACCATAAAGCCAAGCATGAAAAATACTCCAGAACAAAGTTTTTGCTTCCACAAATGAGCCACTTGAGCGTACTTCAGACCAGAGAGGGAAGAAAGGTCATTAACAAGTTGCGCCAAGTTTTGCATTCGCCAATCAACCTCAGAGGACAGCTGCAACTGTACAAGCGCAGAGCCAATGGTGACTTTGGTTATCTTGTGCATTCTTGTATACAGTGTTATATGCATTACCACCTGTATCTAATGTGGTCTAGGTACTGCCAATGAATATGCACACATTGAGTTCAGTAGCTGAAGCAGGTGGCACACAGAATACCAGAAAATTCATCAATAGCATATGAAGGCGATAACAAATTGTGCAATGATTATCCCCTCAATAATGAAGATTTAGTCATTGGTCACTGACAACTTCAGAATTGATGATGAAGAACGTACACATATCAGAGCATGAAAAAAAGTGACGGTATATAGACCGACAGGGCGTTAAGGCAAGGGAGTCGCACTTGGTAGCCATTTCTGCAACTGCGGACTGAATGAATAACGCATGGAGCGGGATCGTGCAAGGCAAAAAGGGCAATAGCCCGAAGCAGTGACCAAAAATAAGCCATACCAGCAACTTAGATTCGGTCAGTTTAGTATGGACACACATACGATGTCTCAGAAACGAGCTGCGTCCACAGTAACACAAAAGAGGAGCGGGCGTTGACTGAAAAACATTCGACGTACGACATCGCAGCGCACGAAATGGCAGCGGAACACGGCCAGCTCGGCGAATAAAAAGGTGCCGTAACGCGAAATATCGGTTAGGCACCGAAGTGGTAGCCGAGACTTACTACGCAACCGAGCCGGCAATCGTCAGAAACAGCTTCTAATGCAATCGTAGAGGTGCCTTGGGACCCGACGATGTTCTGCCGACCCCAGCGCATCATTTACAAGCGCAAATTTCGCGACGAAATTAGATTTAGGCCTAACAAGGGCTAAGCAACGGCCGACACCGTGAAGGTGTCAGAATGTCAAAAAAATGAACCGATTCATGCACGGCTCCGGCGTACGGGCCTGCGCCGATTCGATAGCCGAAACAGCCTCGAAAACCAACTCACTCGTAGTCTGTGAAGCCCTCGCTGGTGATCTTGCAGAAGAAAACCTCGTCGTTCGGCTTGAGATTGGCCGGTGGTTTCTGCCGAATGAATGGGTCCTTGCCGTAAAGAGGCATGGTTGAACAAGCGAGCGTGTGTTTCCTCCGAAGTCGTGTATCTCACCGACGAAACCAAGTCCTTCCCATGAGCAATTCCTCGTCGAGAAGCACACAAAGCGCGCAGGCTAGCAGTTCCGGACGCCTACCTTGATGTCTAATGTCAAAAGTTCCTGGCCGGCACAGCGGACATCGCACGGGGAACAGGACTGCGGTCTCTCAACTCGCGACGGATGCGGCAACTTTCTCGAGCAGCTAACGGTACGCTCGACTTTGGCGCTACAGTTTTCCCCAGACACAGCGCGGTTCGCACAGTCAGAACATGGCAGGATTAAGACTCCGTTGAGCGACGAAATTCAATGAAACTCGCTCGGGAACTCTGAGCATCGCACATAACACGGCGACCACAACGCGGGTTCAGAAAAACATAACTCCGTCAGGCGGGCACTAAAACCGGAACCGAGCGATGCCGATTGGTCCCCAGCGACAGAACGAGCTTTTTGGCGCAGTTTTATTGTGGCGGCAGCACCTTCGAGCCAACAAAATGGCGTGTTCCAGAACATGTACTAGTATACATGCTAGGTACATGCTAGTACATCTACTAGTGCACGCACGGCCGCTGGATGCAAAAGCGCAAGGGCCCGTGCGCTATTTCATCCAGTGGCCGTGGTACACGCAAGCGTAAACAAAACCATCGTGGCAAAGTAAAGCCTTTCACAGAGCACAAACGCTGGATTCATATTTCTAAAATCAAGATGATAGCAGACAGATGATACACGTAGTGGGGTAATTAGGGTGTCCGAGCAATTGCCTGTCTGAGGCAACTCCACTCTGAGGCACTTCCACTGTTCACCCCGATTACCCCACTAAGTTATATTACTGTATCACGCGAGGCCGTCCGTAAACTGTGACATCGTATGAATAGCTAGGTCCCCATTACTTGAGACATACATTCTTACTGGGTCGTTGTGTGGCCACTCTGCTACGTGTAGCTAGGCGAATCAGGTTACGCTTGGTTTATGAATGACGCAGAAGATTTATTCAACAGGTGGCGAGGCTATTTCGGTTCAAAGAGGTGTTCCAAGCAAACTAACCAACGTTGTCATGTGATACTTTCATTTTGCACGCTTATGTAGGCAATTAAATTCAAGGAAAGCAAGAAAAAAATCTAAATTAAAATTCATCAGTTTGATTGAAAGAATTAAGAGACACGTAAGCCAGTGTTCGATGCGTTTAATGAGACGCTGATTGTGTTCGTGGGCTGCACAGCAACCAGAAGTCAGTCGTCGCAAGTCACGGCAAGGCCAGCGCATCCCCGCCGGGACCCTCGACATTTCTGCCATGACGGACGTGCCAGATTTCTTCGCGCCTTGAACGGCCGCAGCAACAAACCTTGGAAAAATAGAAAAGTACAGACGACCTAGGAGCAAACCTTTAGTCGAACAGCCATGGCTTAGCAATTCGTAAGAATCTATAGGCAATGACGACAGTTACAGCGCGAGGACAGAACGACGACAAAGAGACAAGAAGGAGATGAAAGACTTGTCTCTTTGTCGTCGTTCTGTTCTCGCGCTATAACTATCGTCATGTCATACTAACTAGTCGAAGCTGCCACACTTCTATGGGTGATGCTCAGTCGAACGCGACAACAGATGCCTTTTTCATAAATTATATTATTTTAGACTTCGAAAATCAGCACGCCTACCACGAAAAGACGCTTGGTAAGTGTGAAAACGTGCAAAAAGGGAACGTGGGGAACTCCCGCACCATACATCGTGACGTCATACATTTGAACGGCATCTGCCGAGTCCTAAATAGTTCCGGATCAGTAAAAGGTGCATTGTGGTCTCAAGGGACGTAGACCCAACATGCCAATTCAGAAAATTTGGTTGTGCTAATGTTCCTTGAATACGAAAATAAACCTGAAATCCGTGACGTCACGAGCGGAGGTTTCAGTGCGCACATTAAAATTCAAACTTTGACCTTGATATTCCCCTTCATTAATAAGCCGGATATGGCGAAATTAACAAATTCGGAGTTCTGAAACTAAAATTTTGTTAATCTAAACCAACATGTTCCACATTAGTGTCCCATTCTTGCATAAAAATGAAATGAAGTGCCATTAAAAGTCATCTTTCACGTAGACTTGGCGTAGACTACGCGCAAGCGCAGATAAGGTTTCGTGCCTTCGTTATTTTCCGCCGCTGTGCATCTCTTCAGTTAGCCAGCGTTTGTGGTGTCGTGAGTGCTTTCTGTTCTGTTCTGTTTTAACTGTTTTGCTGTGGAGAGGTTGAGGTGCCTATTGCCTCGGCTACTCCATATCACAAAGTTCTGCAGCGAAAAATAAAATAATAATACAGAACGGTACCCAAAAATTAACAATACGGAAAAGAAAAAACATAATAGCACACTGAAACCAGTTCAAATATCATGCCAATACACAGTTTTCTTCGCGCAGTTCACACAGTCATAAACTACTTACACGCACACCTTACTAATCTAATGTCAGTATATGCATGACCACATTTTATATAATACCCATCTCTGGCTGTCTGTCATAGGCTTTCTTGTGTCCGTATTTGTGCACCCCAGGGGCGGCGCCAGGTTTTTTACTGGGAGGGGGTGGGGGGTGGACAGGCAGGCTAAGGACATATATGCGTTGTATATTGACTATGCTTGCCTTGCTCTTGAGGAGAGGCAAGAGGGGCAGGCGGCATTTTTTTTTTTTTTTTGAAGGGGGGGAGAGGGCTTCACTCTTCTATACCCTTCGCTAACGCCGCCCCCGCTACGCCTTTTTTTTTTTTAGAAGGAATATTAATTGGGTAGAGCTATGGGTTGTATGGGGGGGGGGGAGTAAATTTTAAATGTAAATCAACCCACCGGGGTCACGTTCAACTTGCAAGTGGGTGAATGCTGTATAGAAAATAGAACATGTGCCAACCGAGCCCTCTCGTTCATAGAATCTCTTTCTCGCTAAAGGTGCGTTTACTCCTCCGCGAACCAACTGTGAGGTCCTCAAGCACAACACAAGCTTCCTCTTTTTTTGTGTGAATGTTACTGCGTGCCTTACAGTAGTTTTTGTGTGTATAGAGAAAAAAAAAGAAAGAATGGCAAAGACCCATAGCTTGTTCCGCTAGTCTGTGCTTAAGGCTACTTGATTGGAATATTGCGCATGCCTAGTAACGTTCCTTCAAAGTAGGCGGGACATCACTATCGTGGCACTTAGGGAGTGGTTAGGTGGTGCATAATCATCTCATTTTAAAATGTAGAGACTACTGAACGGAGCTACGAATGTAGTGTGATGTATACCCACCTTTCGTCGGCACATCATGATGACAACGATGAAGGCAGGAACGCCCAGCACCACCCCCCACGTCAATGCCGTTAAATCTGAAATGTGGTTAAAACATTGGCACAAATCATAAAAAGGTCAGGGGGGTCCGGACCCCTAAATTGTGTTGAGGCTGGGGATTTGATTCTGCGACATCATATTTAAATTACTTTTCAAGGTATACATATAGCGCATTCAGCCTTTTTTAAAAACTGGTTACTTTTTTTAGCGTGTACATGTGTTAAATACAGCTCAGCGGTGTGAAACTATGGAAATCGCAAAAGCTGCTAGACTGGTGCAAACAAGACTAACTAGAGCAATTCAATTACTCGACCTCGGACTCCATGGTCGTTCGTAAAATTTTACTTCTAAGCACGATTTACTTCCCATCTAAATAAAAATGCGACCTACGTTTAAAAAAAAAAAAAGTCACCACGGTCTGAACTGTGCCCCCCTTGCGATTTCTGGATTGCCGTCACTGGTTGAGAAGAACAGCACAACACCAGTGATGCGACGCCGTATCACAACGCTATATGTATATAACAAGGCAGAAAGCACTATAATGGAAATTTGACGGGCTAAACAGTAGTTTGATCGAGGAAGCACTTCGAAGAAAACGTTTCGAAGGGGAAGCAATGGTACCTTTATGACCCGAATAAAATAAGCCTCAGCATAATTTATTCTTTTTTTACTTATTTGTAACATTAGTGACATTTATTAGTTTGTTTATTTCTGCTTAAAATACCGGTCACTTCAGGCGCGGGTACAGAGGGGCGCGGTAGGGGCAATGACCCCCCCCCCCCTCACTTAAGTGCTCCACCTCTTGTCACCAATTGGGACAAATGAGAGAAACCAGGCGCGCGCACACATTAGCCGTATTTATGCTATGAAAAGGTTTTTCGGCTAGTAAAAACAAAAAGTGATGACCACGCCCCAATCTCAAATGTTACTTCAGACACCCCCCTCTCTCTCTAAATAAGTGACGGGATCCGTTCTTGGTTCACTTTCGCTCATGTTCTATACCAATCTTGGAATTGCATAACATGAATATGTCCATGTATAAAGGCCGATATGCTGTATGATAACATCGCCTATGTGATGTGTTCCCAGCGGAAAAACATTAGCACAAGCGACTTAGTGGCCGCCGCGAAAGAATTGGGATACGCGTTGCTGTTCTACGCGAGCACGTCGACGACGGAAGCGCCAGGTACAGTGGTGAGCACTGGGTGAACACGCGAGCGCGTTGTGATGATGATGATGATGATTGTCGACGGCACTATCAGCGCCACGTAACAGCCATCATTGGAAACACTGCACATGCGCAGCATGTGCTTTGCGAAACACTCTTTCCACCGCGCGCATCACGTCATCGATACGCTTGTTCGTCGTCTGCTAGCCGCATTTTTTGTTCGCTGAGCTGATACCTTCTGCATTTCAAGGTCCATCTGGATTGAAGATTGGCGCGTGAAGGAAAAAAGTGAGTGTAAGAGGGATAATTGTTAAACTTTTCATTCAAGAAAATTGCACTTTTGCAATTCAAGTTAAACAAAACCATGAGAACAAGTACGAAAACATGAGCAAATCTAATAGCGAATCATGTGACCCCTTACAGCAACGACTGCAGCTATTCTGGACGGTAACGAGTCGCATACAGTGATCGAAAATATTCCCGATCGGCTTTCAGCCTTTCCCACTCGTTGCTGACTTGCGCCCACAACTGGTCCGAAGTCGCGGAATAAAGGGGCTTCCTTGCCAAAGAAGCTTTCAGACGGCCCCACACGTTTTCTATCACATTCAGGTACGCTCCTTTCGGAGGCCATTCCGGTAGCTGCAGGTGCTGCTCCGCCTGGAACTCCTTGACAGCCCGCGCCGTGTGTAACGGTGACCGGTCCTGTTGGAACAGGTAATCACCGTCTCGGAACAAACTGCCCGCATATGGCAACAGCACATTGTTCAAAACGTTGCAGTATTGTTCCGACGATAAGTGTCCACGTATACGTTGCAGGGGCCCTAAACCATATCTTGAAACAGCACCCCACACGCTCACACTCGATCTCCCACTGTCAGAAACACCTTGCACGTTGTCTCGGTCGTTCCTGTGTGACATTTGGCGTTAACTAAAACAATTGCTTTTCAAAGCAGGAAGTTTGCCTCACCGTGTGCCTGGTAGTCTCCAAACGCGCAATCTTTGGTCTTGTCGCGTCGAAAACATCGACTCATCCGAAAAGGTGACGCGACCCCACTCTTCTGATGTCCATGCTTCGTGCAACTCAGCGAACTACCGTCGTGCGTCCTTGTGTGCCGCCGTTAGTAGTGGCTTCTGCGCTGCGACGCGACTGCGAAGGCCCGCAGTACGCAGGCGACGTCGAACAGTGGTGTCCGAAACGTCCAAACCCAAGTCCTCGCGTATTGCTGGGGCTGGCAAGAAAGGGTTACGAACAGCAGCTGCAACTATGAGGGCGTCTTCATAGTCTGTGGTAGCTTTAGGGCGGAGCGCGCGGGGTGCACCCTGAATGCGACCTTCATACTTGTAGGCTTGAATTATCCTGTTCACAGTCTTCAGGGGCCTATTAACTAAAGCGCCAATATACCGCTGGGAATAACCTTTCAGGGAAAGATCGACAATTGAGCGCCGTTCATCATCAGGAACCCTAGCCATAATACGATCTGGCGACAGAATGAACGGCTGCGAAAGATGTTTGGATGTTTTATATACGGCGTTGCAGGCACAACAACTTTGAAGGGAACGAATAGACACGCCCCCATAGATATACAAGTTTTTTTTTTTTTTGTCTTGTTCTGTTCAAGCACAGATGTTTAAAGAAATCTTAAAATTCAGGATGCATGGGCTTACAAAACAAAATTGCGGCTAGCAGACGACGAACAAGTGCATTCATGACGTCATGCGCGCGGTGGAACAATTATTTCGCGGAAGGCGTGATGCGCATGCGCAATGTTTCCAGTGATGACCGTAACGGGGCGCTGACAGTGCCGTCGGCCGATCTAAAGGGTACAACCATCCATCCATCCATCCATCCATCCACGCGCTTGCGTGTTTACCCTAACAGTGCTCACCGCTGTACATTCCAGTTTCCCAAGCAGGGGTGGCCGGCTGAGAGTGACTCGATCATCTTAGAGCTCGCACAACGAAAGCGACTGTTGGTCTCAGAACAATGAAATAAAAGCCACAGCTGCCCACTTAGCAAGCGCAAATACAAACACACATGCGCAAAATAAAATAAAACGGCTCGATGTGCGCCGCTACGGCAGACCATGATTCTGCAGCCGTAATGTAGTTCTGCCATCGTTCTTCAAGATGGGTCTCATTCTAGCGACAGCCCCTGTTTTATAAAATGCAGTGTGCTTAGCACTGCCGCCCCATTTTCCCGCTAGATAGGTAGCGAGGCGTGTGCAGCTGCTCCGGAAGTATATCCGAAGTGTGGGGGCAACGTTTGTGGGCAGGGATCCTCAACGGGATCCCTGTTCACGAAGGGTCCTGTTGAGGGTACTCAATGGGATCGACATCATTCGATAAATAAATAAGTAGCAGTCAGCATTTCTTCCTTCGTGTAATTAGCCACTTATTCACCTAATTGTTCTGGAGTAACAACTGTGATTAGCAAATTGACTTTCGTAACCCTCGCCCCGCTGTGGTGGCCTATTAGCTAAGGTACTCGGCTACTGACCCGCAGGTCGCGGGATCGAATCCCGGCTGCGGTTGCTGCACTTTTTATGGAGGCAAAAATGCTGTAGGCCCGTGTGCTCAGGGGGGGGGGGGGGGTAAGTTTATTTACAGAGAGGCAGAGAGGTCGGCCTGAGCGATAGCTTGCTCTAGCCTGCTACTCTACACTGGGGGAAGGGAAAGGGGAAAATAGATTAATGGATGACGATGGTGAGATAGAGAGGTGAGTATGTAGTGTTCTTGCTAGCTGAGACATATTTTATAGCCGCGCACATAGTCCAGTTGTTTCCAAAAAGGTTATAACTGCTCTTGTGACCGCAGTTACACTGTTGGTGTCTGGCCGAGGGCCCAACATGGTCTCATCGATTAATGACCTACTGCGATATAGTTCAGTAGAAGAAATCAGTGTTTGTCGTTCACGTGCGTATGCTGGGCAGACACAAAATATGTGCTCAAGTGTTTCTGGCACATCACAGTGTTCACAATTAGGATCGGTGTCACTGCGACCGATGATATGTGCGTAACGTCTGGTGTACGCTACACCAAGACGAATGCAGTGGATCATACTTGTGAGTTGCCGTTTCAATTTAGGGGGCATGTGGAACCTCATTTCCGGGTCCCATTTGTGAAGTCGCTGGTGTCACCACCATTCCGATTTGGTCCAGTGCTGAAGTGTGTAGCTGCGCATCACGCAGCGAAGCAGGGCGTTCGTGTCAGCTCGTGAAAACGCAATGCGTACTTCAGGGGCACTGCTTAACGCATTTTTAGCTTGAGCGTCTGCCTCTTCGTTTCCCATCACGCCGCAATGAGCGGGAATCCGCTGGAAAGTTATAAGATGACCATTTGTTGAAGCAACCTGAATAAGTTCTGCGATTTCTATTGCCAAGCTGTAATACGGACCTTGCTTCATGATGCAATTAATGGTTTGCAAAGCGGGTTTGACATCACAGAAAATCGTCCAGGCTCGAGGTCGCTCATCGGAAATAAATCTTATTGCCTCCCGGATAGCGACAAGCTCTGCGGTAGTTGATGTGGTTGTATGGTCCACTTTGAATCGTCGAGCGATATCCATGTCTGCGTGTGCTCAGATTTGTACGTTAATGAACTGCAGGTGGTCGAAATTTCTGGAGCCCTTCACTATAGCGTTGGCCATAATCATATGGTGGTTTTAAGATGGTAAACCCCACATGTTATTTATTCGTAACCCTCATGTACGTTGAAAAAATGTTATGCCATAAAGATAAATTCAGAAAGATACCCGTTATCAAAATAGGACTTTTTTAGCGATAGGATGCACAAACTGTGTCATTCACGACAACAATACGTCGATATGTTCATCGTGCCAATATAGTAGAAAACTTCCCTTCAAGTGAAAAGGGACCTTTTTTTTTTTGTCGTCTTCATCTGTCAGCTTCACATTGTTGGGTCGAGCCCTTAAAGCCATTTTTCTTTATTTTTTTTTGAACTAGTGCTACACATCAGTGACGAAATAAGTAAATCGATTACAGCATATTCACGGAGTGAATGACTATGAGTGGGGCAAAGCGTCCGTACGTCGATCCGTGCTTCTGTCCGTCCGTGCGTCCATCCATGTGTCCATTCGTGCGTCCATTCATCTGTCTGTCTAGACAATCAGTCTGTTTGTGCGTCCGTCCATCCATACATCCGTCCGTATGTCCATCCGTCCATGCATATGCGTCCAATCGCGTTAGAGAATCTACACGGCGCGCGGGTAAGACCGACGAGACGCGAGCCAAGAAAGCCGAGCGCAAGCGTCTTCAACGCGCCCACCACTCTGCTTCGTCCATGCCCCACCAACGATTCGCCGCGTACGGCGACTATACAGGAGACTGAGGGAGGTACTCCTTACTCGCGCACCCAGCACAACCCGCGCAGCAGCCAATCGGAGAGTCACGGTAAAGCGCTATCTAGAATATGCTCACTCAACTTCACTTTGTATGTACTTCTCAGCGCCGTCTATTATACTGTTCGAGAGATACTGCCTTCCTTTTTTTACTCGTCTCTTCTCTCGGTTACGCCAAACGGAGGAATACAAAACCTAACAAACATAATGGAAAGTGGGCGTAAATGGCCCAAGTTTACGCATCTTGTTGTTGTTTTTTTGTTTTTCAGTGTAATACTATCTTTTTGAGAATGCCCCCCCCCTCTCTTTCCTAACCCGCTCCTTAGCACCTGAGGGGGAAAAATGATGGCCGTGCAATACAGTGAAGGCATTTTTCTTACATTTCTGTGAAGCTTTGCGAAAAAGCCACCTTACACACCTGCCGCTCCAAATTGTTCTCATTACTTCTGTACACAGTCTATGCAATAAGGTACAGTACTAAGCGCTATATAATTATTAGCGTTTACTGACTGTAGCCATTTAATGAACGTTTTGGTAAACTTTGTTTCGCATAACGCTGCAAACAGTAATAGGCGCTATGTGATGCGCATAGCTTTTTCATTATGGCATATTTAATGAACTTTTTTAGAAGCGAAGCTCCTTATGGCGTGGCTTGGGCGTCCCTCGTATGTAACCACCAGTGGCACATACCCGAAATAGGTATAACACTTGACCTCCAAGGTGGTGCCAGTGAGAGATTTCTTCTGTGCGTTGTTTAACAATAAAAAATAGTGCTCAATGTACATGCCAATGGCTGCTAATGAGGAATGAGAGACATGAGCATTCGGCTTTTAGTCAACGCGCACGCTGCGATCCCCATTAGCAGCCATTGGCATGTACATTGAGCACTATCGGACAAGAAAGGGATGCTACATTATACTCGCTGGGTGTAACCTCCTTAGCTTTAGAAAGGTTTAGCGAGCGTTGAGCCGCAGTGCCATGAATACAATGAACTTGTATATACCATGAATGAACTCAATGTGGTTAAAAATGAGAAGTAGATACGAAGCGCAAGCCGTAAGAAAGTAAAAGCCGAATTCTCCTGTCTCTCATTTCTCATTAGCAGCCATTGGCATGTAAATTGAGCCCTATCTGACAGGGAAAGGTTGCTACGTTATACTCGCTGGGCGTAACCTCCTTGGTTTTCGAAAGGTTTATCGAGCGTTTGGTCGCACTGCCATGAATACAGTGAACTAGAATATACCATGAACTCGAGGTGGTTAAAGGTGGGAAGTGGACCCAAAGCGCAGGCCGTAAGAAAGTGCGCGTGTGCCACCTCTCGTTTAGTCCTTGGAATGTCCGCTGGATGGCGGTGCTTCTATATGGGGAATATATGATAAAAAGATGCGAGATGGTGGGACTTGGAGTGTTGAATAGATGAACGAACGGACACACAAACAGATGCATGGATGGACGCATGAACGGAAGCAGGGGCGGATGCACGAAAGAACGCAGGGACGGGCGCACAAACAGACGCATGGACGGTCACACAGACGGACGCATGGACGGACGAATGCTTCGCCCCACTCTCCATCATTCACTCCGTGGATATGCTGCCATTTTTTTTTCATTCTGCTGAGCGTCAGTTTCATAATGTGATACTGTCCTTCGCGATCTGCGTCCAACGTGGACTATAGGGGTTCGCAGCAATACATCATAGAAAGAAATCCCGCAATCGGGCTTCTCCTCATAAAGATCCGTAATGCAGAAAAGCCACCTTTTGTCAGAGCTTTCTGATCAAGCGAACATGCGCTTCCTCGGCTACTTCGAGGCTTCAACGCGCAGAAAATCGCGCGCAAAGCAACTCTTGTGAGATTTTCTTAGTCCTGTGTAAGTACGAATAGTTCTAGATAATGAGACAAACGCCATATTAGTATGTTGTGACGATTAACAAAGATAAATGTGTTTTCCATAAACAAATCGAAAAGTGCTTTTCTTAAAAAAAAACACGTCATCTTGCCGTTTTCCACACAATGAACACCCACCTTCTTCGTCTATTACCATGACACCTCCCCTTCTCCCCACGTTTCCCTTTGTTTTGCTTTGCGCTGAGCCAGGGTCGACGCCAGCATTCCTTCAGTGCGTGGCACCCAAATTAAGTGAGTTCCTTTTCAGGGACTAGGGCCATAGCCAGAGGGGGGGGGGGGGGGTCCAGCAACACCCCGAATTTCGCCAGTTCTGCTTGCACGCATATATACACGCAAACATACAAACGCACGCAACAACATACACAAAGTATAGTCGCATCCTCTACACCCCCCCCCCCCCCTCTTGAAAAAAAAAATTCTGGCTACGTTTCTGTTCAGGGGAGAGAAGCAGAACCCTTTGAGGAGGGGGGGGGGGAGGTGTTAAATGGGAGGGCTGCACTTTCCTCTCAGTATTTTGCTCTCTACAGGCGCCCCGCCACCCTTGAGCTGTGCGACAATGAACTATCCGCTCTATATTAAAAAAAAAAAGTCTTCAAAAGGCAGGTTATTTATGCGTGATTACGGTAAATTTCGCACGCGTGCTTCACCTCCTTCGGTGAAGACCTCGGCGTGACTGGGCTCTCCCACGGCGATGCCCGTCTTGTTGACGGTGCGGAAGGCGGTGACGGTGAAGCGGTACCGGCTCCACTGCATCAGCCCGTTGATGTAGACGTGCCGCAGGCTGGGCTGCGGGTACACCTTGGTGTGGCACAGCCGGAACCAGCAGTGGGTGACCACGAACCCGTCCGCGTTGCCCCCTTCGAGCGTCCAGCTGACGCGGACGCTGGACGGACCCAACGGGGAAGCGCGGAGCTGACACGGACGGTCGGGCGCTGCATGTACACGGGTGTTCAAGCGAGCGACACTCAGTTTGAGCCTCTGCGCTGTACACGACGCAGACAAAGCAATAATATGACTGATGGCTTAGGGATGACTTACGTTAATAACAAATGGAATATTGACTCGCGATGCACTTTGACTGTCTGACGAAAAAGCATTGCACGTTACGACGCCGACAACAAAAGATGGTACAGGACACACCACCCCCTTCCAACTTTCAATTTTGCATATATATATATATATATATATATATATATATAGGCGTACAGATACGAACGAGCATAGACTTAGCAGGAGGAGGAGGGGGCACTGCCATGAACCTTCACCTCTCCCTCCTGATGGGTGGGGAACTTTGTGCCCGCCTATGCATGCAAGTACAATTAGCCTCCCCACCCCCCACCATCATACCTACACGCGCTACGGTGGTCGAAAAGTTTTCTTGTCGGAGCGTTGGCTCCTGCCACACCCCGTGTTCGGAGTAATTTTTTTTTTATTATTATAAGGGCACAGTTCAAGAAACGATTGATTGAAGCCGAATCCGCTGTTGCTCGCTATACTGTTCACGACTGTACAATGACAGAGAGGTTCCGCTGTGGAGTCACGCACTCTGCTTGAGGGCGTCGAACGCCGTCTCGTAGAGGAGCACGCCGTCGGTGCGCCGCACCTGCAGGCTGAGCCTCTGCCGCGTCAGGTCGGTCCAGGCGACGAACTTCTCCCGCCTCAGGTCGAGCAGGTTGTCGCGGCACGCGCGGTGGCAGCCGTCGGTCGAGCTGCACAGCCTCACGTTGAGCAGCTGCTCGGTCTCGTTGCCCAGTCGCCACTCGAGGCCCACCATGAAGGACGAGTAGGCGGACGCCCGGAAACGAAGCTCTGCGGTGTCATCGACGATGAACGACACTGTTTGCGGACGGAGGGACAAGCGACTTCTAATACTATGGTACCATATACACTCTAAGAAGTCCCGACTTGCCACATACGAACGTGAAACCATCTGTAGAGATAAATGCTAACCCTCTTTTGGAGATCATTATACTCCCTTCGGGGGGGGGGGGGGGGGGGAATGGGAGGTACGTGCCTCCAGAATGGATTCAGCGTGTATCCCTAAAGAGAGTTTTATATGTCGCGAGGCAGGACTCCCTCGCTCCTGAAAGGGTTTGCGCCCTAAGTAGTCGAATAAATTCAGCCATGAATAAATCGAGCCTCTATTATATACAGCCTCATTGGGCGAGAGCTGCAACGTCAACGCTAACAGTCTTACACCATATGCCTGCTGGCGTGGCAGAAAACTTCCCGGTAAACCCCGCTCAATTATTAATTGATTGATTTGTGGGGCTTAACGTCCCAAAACCACCATATGATTATGAGAGACGCCGTAGTGGAGGGCTCCGGAAATTTCGACCACCTGGGGTTCTTTAACGTGCACCCAAATCTGAGTACACGGGCCTACAACATTTCCGCCTCCATATATATATATATAATTATATATATATATATTAAAATCGAAGGTGTGTTGTACGTCGAGAAGGGTTCAGACGTAGCTTGGCAAAATGTCCTTTATCAGGCAGGTCTGGCTAATGGCGAGCGGCGTGCGCGAGCTACTACTGCAGCCACCGATCATCATCGTCTTCTTCGTTGCCAGCAGAGCGTCCGTTACTCAGATTCATTAATTCATTACAATTACTCCCCGCGAAATAAGGAGCCATCCTGGCGACCTATGGACAAGTAAACACGGGAGGGTCGTAGCAGGGCTTAAGTCTCGAGACGTGGACAATTTCCTGGCCACGACGACGTTGGTCAGAAGATGGTTCCAGTGGCTCGATGAGATAATTCACCGGTGACGTTTTTTGTAGCACACGATATGGGCCGTGATACTTGGGGACCAACTTGGTAGAAAGGCCACGTGTAGCCGAAGGGACATGCAGCCAGACGAGTGAACCTGGATCGTAGGAAGTAGTGCTATTTGATGCGTCATGGTGGTGTTTTTGGCGTCCTTGGTCTTGAGTTGTGAATGATCTTGCCAGTTGGCGGCATTCTTCAGCGTATGTAGCGGCTTGAGACAAAGTCGTGGACTCTGAGGAGTCAGGTTTGTACGAAAGAATGGTGTCCATAGTGCAAGAAGGTTCGCGTCCGTAAAGGAGGAAAAAAGGAGAGAACCCAGTAGTGCTTTGAATGGCGGTATTATAAGCGAACGTGATAAACGGGAGCACTCGGTCCCAATTGGAGTGGTCTGACGAGATATACATAGACAGCATGTCGCCAAGGGTGCGGTTGAAGCGCTCTGTCATTCCATTGGTCTGGGGATGATAGGCGCTTGTAGTGCGGTGAACGACGTGGCACTCACGCAGCAATGCTGTGATGACGTCTGACAAGAATACGCGACCACGATCGCTCAGTAACTCCCGAGGTGCTCCATGACGTAACACGATGTTGTGAAGAACGAAAGTCGCAACGTCTTTTGCTGTAGACGAGGGAAGGGATGAAGTTTCGGCATACCGCGTGAGATGGTCGACGGCAACTATGATCCAGCGGTTACCGTCAGCAGTGTTGGGAAGGGGACCATAGATATCGATGCCGACGCGGTCGAATGGTCGGGATGGCATGGTAAGGGTAGCAAGGTACCGCTGGCGTGACAAGGGGGAGTTTTTCGTCTCTGGCACGTCGAGCAGGCCCGAACGTATTGTCGTATAAAACGGTACATGCCACGCCAGTAATATCGGAGACGTATGCGAGAATAAGTCTTCAGGAAACCTGCGTGGCCACATTGGGGGTCGTCATGAAACGTGGAACAAATTTCGGATCGCAGATGACGTGGAATCACGAGTAGCCACTGACGTCCACCGGGTGCGTAGTTGCGTCGGTACAGCACGTCGTCGCGAGTGGCGAAGTGCTCCACTTGCCGACGCAACGTGCGAGAAGGGGGGGAAGCCGTCCGCCCAGCCAGGATGTCTAGAATCGAAGCAACCCAAGGGTCCTTGCGTTGCTCAGATGGCATGTCGGCGATGGTGACGGCAGTGGCATCACAGGTTAGACTTTCGCAGCAGTCCGGGTCAGGGGGTAGAGGCGAACGGGATAGGGCGTCTGCGTCCGAATGTTTCCGGCCGGAGCGATAGACCACGCGAATATTATATTCTTGGAGGCGTAATGCCCATCGGGCGAGGCGACCGCTCGGATCCTTCAATGACGACAACCAGCAAAGGGCGTGGTGGTCAGTCACGACGTCAAAAGGGCGCCCGTACACGTAAGGTCGAAATTTTTCTATCGCCCAAATAATGGCAAGGCATTCCTTTTCAGTGACAGAATAGTTGCTTTCGGCCTTGCTAAGAGTTCGGCTTGCGTAGGCAACCACGTACTCTTGGAAGCCGTCTTTCTTTTGTGCAAGAATAGCGCCTAGCCCGACACCACTAGCGTCGGTGTGGATCTCTGTGGGTGCCGATGGGTCGTAGTGTCGCAGAATAGGCGGCGACGTGAGGAGGCGGCGCAGTTCATTGAAAGAGTCGTCACAGGTGGCAGACCAGGCTGAAAGGTCTCTGGAGCCGGCGAGGAGCTTGGTCAAAGGAGCGATGATCGTCGCGAAATTGCGGACGAAGCGCCGAAAGTAAGAGCAAAGGCCTATGAAGCTTCGGAGCTCTTTCATGGTGGTCGGTTTGGGAAACGCTGAAACTGCTGTAAGTTTGGCAGGGTCAGGAAGAATGCCGTCTTTTGAAACCACGTGGCCAAGGATCGTAAGCTTTCGAGCGGCGAAATTGCACTTCTTCAGATTCAGTTGCAGCCCCGCGGCAGAAATACACGCGAGGACTTTCTCGAGGCGGGTTAAATGGGTTGCAAAATCAGCTGAAAATACGACAATATCATCTAAATAACAAAGGCAAACGTTCCATTTGAGGCCTCGAAGGATAGAGTCCATCATCCGCTCGAAAGTAGCTGGCGCGTTGCAGAGGCCGAAGGGCATGACTGTGAATTCGTAAAGCCCGTCGGGCGTGATGAAAGCAGTTTTTTCGCGATCGGCCTCTGCCATGGGTACCTGCCAGTATCCAGAGCGGAGATCTAAAGAAGAGAAAAATTCGGCTCCCTGTAGGCAGTCCAAGGCATCGTCAATGCGTGGCAGCGGATAAACATCCTTGCGCGTGATTCGGTTGAGACGCCGGTAGTCCACGCAAAACCTGATGGATCCGTCCTTCTTCTTCACCAACACAACTGGAGAGGCCCAGGGACTGCTTGACGGTTCTATTATGCCACGTGTCAGCATGTCGTCAACCTGTTCATTGATGGCACGGCGTTCAGTAGTTGACACACGATATGGACGCTGCCGTAATGGCGTCTCTTGACCGGTATCTATACGGTGAACAACAGATGACGCTCGACCTAAGGAAGGCTGATTGTGGTCAAACGAGGCTCGAAAACGCTGTAGGAGCTTGATCAGCTGTTTCTGCTGCCCAGGCGTGAGGTTACAATCGATGGACTTGCGGAATACATCCATAGGTTCATTAGCGTCAGTTGCGGGTGTAATGGCACAAGTCGGTAGAAATGGCTTGTCTGGATAGATCGGGTCTTCGAAAATACAATTTAAGGTCTCGAGGCTTCCCAGACACTCACCGCGTAGCAGGATGTACGGGCAAGCAGAAACGTTGCACGCATAAAGTACCGCCGAACCATTGGAAAAGTTGATGACGGCAAACGGGAGGACGATGGTTCGGTGTTGCACCCTAGCTATAGTTGGTTGGAACAGGAGCGTCGAGTTAGTGGCAGCAGGGGAAAACACAGGCACTAGGACGGCGGACAACGGCGCGATGCGGACGTCAGCTGCGGCAAACACTTTCGAGGGACTGTGGTGGTCGATATCAAGGCACGGATTCGTCAACGTGAGTTCAGCACGAGCGCAGTCGACGAGGGCCTGATGGGTAGAAAGGAAATCCCATCCTAGTATGACGTCGTAAGATGAACGTGGGAGAACAACAAAGTTGACGGCGTACCAAACATCTTGAATAAGAACGCG